CCCATCTATTCCACGGTCGGTATATGTATCAAAGACAATACCGCTGTTATTAATATACAATTGTCAATATCGTCGTCCGTGTTGATCTGTGTAGATATAAAAGTATTGTTTCAAAAGAATATTCATACTTGTGTAGAAAAAACAGGCACACATTCCGTCGTTGGTTCAAAAAACTTTTCGGCAATGGATTTCGATGGAAACGAGCCAACGTATGTTTCATTAATGAAAATACCACATGGCTTTTTTAGGGCACGTGTTATTGGTAATAATAATACAAAAAAAAACATCAACCATGACATATGCTCTCTCGTGTGTGCCTGTTTGTATAAATATAAAAGTTTATAACCGGAACATTTCTCTGAAAGAAAAAAACAACAGCCAAGACACCCGACAAATTATGTTAAACGTCTGCTAAACCGCCAGAACCGTCTAATGTTTTTCTGATAGCTTCATTTTGGACCTTTGCCCCGTCCGTTGTTTAATATACATAGCTATAGTAATGGAGATCAGTAATTATTGGTATGAGGTAGGTAATTATGGTAAAGAGCCAAGGCGAATAATATTTTACGACCGTGTTAATTTTTATGCGTACAGACTGCAGACTTAAGTATTGACTGCAGTATTAAAGTTTAAAAAAATTTACTCGTATACTGGGATAAAAAATAAAACGATAGTATCATAAAATAAAGTATAACAGAATATTTTATGTTTTTAACGATTAGACGTTAAAATTATAGACACTTGCTATGCAGAAATAGTATGTTAGCCGAATCTATAGTTACTAATTTTTAACTGAAGGAATTATACCCGTCATATCGATAAGAGTTAATAATTATTGGTACATGGTAAATGGTTATGAACATGCATTATGCTATTGTTACAGTATATTGGCTACAACATTCCGACTAACACACTATACGTTTTCGTCCTAGTGTATTACTGTTATAATTTGCATTATGGTGCTTCGCATATTGTTATATCGAGCACTCGAGGCTATTCGATTTTCGTAGAACGCCTTCGGGTTCGTTTTTCGAGTACTCAGTTGGCGAATTTCAACAGAGTTATTTACGTCTGAACATGTCATTTCCAAACAATCCGCAGTATATTATAGTTGTTTACTTCAACATATTGCTTGTACCTAGTTTATCTAATTATTCGTTTGACAAGTAAAATATCAATACACGATATACCTACCGACTAAACTACTTAAAGTTAAACACTGTCTTATGAGTTATTGTTTATCTGGTTAGACATTAGAAGTGCGCGCACAGTGATGAAGTTGACGAAGACTTAAATGCTTTATAGTACAAGTCGGGGTTAGTGTATCACGTAATAACACCATCATTTTATAAAAAGCTACCGGTGCAATATGTGTTTCAACTGTTCAATATCGTTCAGAAAATATTAACGCGTCCAAAATCAAAACCACAAGTACCACATGGTTGATTGTAATAACAAATAGAATTATTTATTATAAGAAGTTTTTTATATTTGTTTACAATGTGTATTTTTTTTTTTGCCTATTAGAATTGTATCGAATAAATAACGAACTAGTTGACACGTTACTCTATGATCCGTTTCTGTAGCCCAATAGACACCAAATACCTCTCCAATAGATTTTTTAAGTGAAAACAAATCAAGCCCGGTCACGTTGCGTCGGTGAAATTTTTTTTTGGCGGCGGATCTGACATTATCTCAAAGAATAGATCACGATTGCATAACCTTGTATTATACCGCTGTTATCGTTTACTAGATTGTGGTGTTATAGTATACATTATGCTATTATATTACCGTGATGTTGCAAGGCGCCAAAGTAAAAGATAAAAGGTTCTCAATTGGGAAACCGCGCATGGTGTATACAATATAACATGCGTTGACCTCGATACGACCGACTTAATAAGATGTAAAAAGCCGTTTGTAAAAAAAATTAATTAATAATTACTGCTAAAACTAACTGCGCGGCAATTGCGATGAGGAAAAAAAAGCAACACTATTGATGTGTCTCACCTCGGCATTAGTCGTTGTGTGAACGGTGACGGACGTGGTCTCGGGTCGCTCTATAGACGTGTTTCTGACGTTAGAATGTTTGTGCGTGCGTGTGTTTGTTTAGGTACACTGACAAATCTTGACTTTTAATTTTCATTCGACTGAAATAAACACAACGCTGCTGCTGCGGCGTTATCAAACAACTGGTACGTAGAACTAATTTCATTGTGAACGGTTTTTTTTGCTCTCAAAACAACGTCAGCATTCGTTTAGTACAAAACGAGAGTTCCTTTTATGCGTGTTACTCGACACCTCGATAGCAGAGCTTAGTGATTCATTGAATTTTGGGGCCCATATCTTAACCATCCAACCTCCGTTGAAGGCCCTGAGCAGCGTACGTTTTTACCTGGCAAACTCAACACAGAGAAGGTACATATGGGTTGAATATTTTGTACCATTCGTTGTCTGGTGTTGATGAAAACCGTACTCGGCATTTTTGCTATAGACAACAATAAATGGTCGGCCGAATTATAAAAGGACCGTACTACCCACAACGGAATAGTATGTTAACGATTTAAAATAATTTTTATTTATTCCACCGACGTACACGACGAGATCAGCGTTTCGACCCGGAGCTACAAGTCCGAAGCAACTTGTTACTTTATTTTCCTACTGTTCTATATGTACAAAATGTAATGTCAAAAACTGTCAAGCCAACTCAAAACCATGTACCTACATCAGCGTTTGGTGCGGTTTTGAAAAAAATTATAATATTTCATCCGGCAACGTGTACATATTCTTACCTGCATCTCGTGCATTCAAACAATTTAATATTATATTCACATCTAACGTCGCCGTTGGAGTACGGATTCTGTTGTGCGTACCGGCTTCCACTGTAGGTACCTATCTAAGTATCCCTATTCTACTTTTTTTTTTTTTTACCTCGTAAAATATATTATATTGCATTCTATGCCTGCGTCTTTGACGTGTGTCTTTTCTACACGACTGCAGTTGTATTTTGCAAGTGTACAAAAATCAAATGCACAATCGTGCGAAAAATAACGAACAACGAATTGACTCTGCTGCGCTGGTAAGACGTATAAAATGCAATTTTTTTTTTCGTTCCGAATTGTTGGGATTTGGTTCGGTTTTTGGTTGTGGAAATCCGGTGCAGAGTCGAAAAGAGCAGTTTTATTTTTAATTACCTGAAATTATGTAGCCCGTATTATAATTGGCATAGCATAAAAGAGCACACTCCAGGGTTATCAGGAAATTCATCATCCGTTCGTAACTTCAAACCGTGCACAACGAGATGATATTCATATTTGTGTTTTGTACATATTGTTCTTTTTTGGGCTGCATTTTCACGCTCTTTTGTGTTATAAAAAAGTAAAAAATGTGCTCTTTCGGGTAACGCCCTGGAAATCTGGTCAGTGTGCCGGTGTTTTTGTGTAATTGTACGCGTGCCCGTAACTGTGTTTTAGATGTGTATAAAATACTTATTTATTATTATGTACAATAATAATAGCTACGGCATATCAGTACGCCTGCGGCGGTGCTGCGCTCGAATGATCTATGTAATTATTTGATTACAAAAAGGAATTTACATTATAGATACGTTTACGCTCGCAAAGTTGTTTTTGAGGTAAACAAGTAAGAAGGAAAATGCCATAATTAATGTATACCGAAGAATGATGAAATGCAATTGACAATTATAGATTTTCTTTCCTAACCACCAACAAGTAGCTAAGAAGCAACATAATACTCTTATTATGATACTGTATGTTATATTAATTACGTTTTCCTCAAACGGATTGCACTGTGGTTGGTGGGCGCTGGTTGACACTGTTTAATAGGCACATCCTTAGGAAATTTTTTTTTAGAAATTACATTTAATAAAATTGAATTATATAGCATGCAAACGATAAATTCATAAAGCTATTTAGATATTATGTTTGACTCTCTGAACACCTATTATTTACATTTGTTTACAAACACCAGAGTATAAGTTCATACCACTTTAGTAAGAAAAATATTAAGGTCGGATGTCAATATTTGTTTTGAACATCTATTTAAAATGCTCCTATTAAGTTGTTGTACTTATTTAATTAATTTTTTTTATTACATATAAATCGGACTCCTAAGAATTAAACTCAACGTATCATACCTTTAGATTTTACTTACGCCTAACATACTGTATAATCTCTAGACTTTTAAAAGAGCGTGAATATGTTTTTATTTGAATCCATTTCATCTTAAACGTGATGTCTTCTTGATTTAATGTAAGTGTACGACTTAAGTGAAATTAACGGGGTCGGTCATTGTTTCAATTTCACTAAAATGGCTGTAGCTCAAGTTTATTTAAAACAGTTTAATCGTATTCTATACCCTTTTTGTACAAAAAACTTTTTACATTGTTTAATCTACCTAATTTAAATTCAACATAAACCGCCTAAATGGTATTAAGAATACATTTCATAATTTAAATTTCTATTGTTATTATTATTTTTTTTTTTTTTTTGCAACTAGGAAAAGACAATTGAACGGACCCTCGCCGAGTCGTAAATGCTTCGTAGCGTTGCGAAATAATAATTAAAAAAATAACCTCAATCCTCTTAGTATTATATTATACTTGGGTATATTTTCCTTGGTCTGCGCCATCGAGATTTTGTTCATTTATTACCTACGTACCTCCTACACGATTCACATGTCGGGATAAAATTAATCATATAATTTTCCTTAAAACGCTTTCCCCATCAGTCATCTCGTCGTCACCTCGTGATAGGCGTCACACGCATCGTACGCGTTCCCTTAACTTATTTATCTACGTACATTTTCTTTATGTATCAAAACGTTAATTAATTATAAATCAACCGTCATCCGGTGTGCGCTAGTGTCTATTATGTATCAATGTATAACGATAATAATAATCCCTGCTGTTGCACGTCACCAGCCGCGCAATAGCTACAGTAGTGGTTAAATAATATTGTTATTTTGTTTTTCCTCGATTATAGGCCAGTCCGGACGAAGAAACAATAAAATATCGCGGCGGATCAACACAATCCGGCGCTACATCCGTGCTGCCTGTCCTTTGTGCGGTCTAAAAGAAAATCAAAACTACTAGAGCGCATCTCCGCTTCTAATCCCGCACCCGGGGTAAGTCAATATCGTTTATTTTAATAATAACGTAGTGGGTTTTTTTTTTTTAATGTCGCTGTTCTTATTGAGTCCGTTCGACCGTGGTGCTGCAGCTCGTCCGTTTGTTTGTTTTGCCGAGTTTTGATTTGTACGAAAATAAAACGGCGCCTCGGTGGTCAGGTGACTTGGGTCGCCGCGCGTTCCACTCGACGTGAAATGTTAATCTTAAGGGACGAGCAGCAGCTGAAGGGGAAAAAATCCTGTTTGGATATTGCGCGAGTGCGGTATGGGACCTGTGGAAACTGCGGAGCACGATATCGGTGCACCCTTGAATAACGTATTCAAGTTATTGGAAAGCAGTCGATTCGAGTACCTGGGTAATATACACTGGAGTTCTGGCCGGTCAGTAAATTCAGGGCGGCCCGTACAAACGTCTGGAAAACTTTTCGCTCGCATGTTTTACAACGTAATAACACCCCACTGACTACTTTATAGTTTACATGTGGCAAAATTATAATCATAATATTTTCTCCGGTCGGTAATATTATTCTGGTTGACCATGTCCGGGTAGTCGGTAAACGCGATTGTCAGATTTAAATACAAACGCAAATAATAACACGTCCTTTGCTAGAACTTGTATTACATTTTAGTTTTTATACTAATATCGTACCCAAGAGTGAGCCCATAAGCTTGATTGTAAAATGTCCGAAAAAATAAAGAATTAGCGACGATAGTGATCATCGACTTAACAGCTATTGAATTAGACGATGAATCGTTGGCATTTGTTCGGTGCTCAATCAATGTAGTTACTGTTGACTAATGTACAACCGTATTGTGTACACAGCAAGAAAAATCACTTCGGACGCTCCGAAAACGTGGTAAACGTATTGATGTCGATACAAATAAAACGTTTGACCACGATACCAGTGGAAAAAAGACTATCAATATCATCGGGTAGTGTCCTTTATTTAATAGCGGCGGCGGCGGTTTAGACGTGCTGTCGACGTTGCGTCGGGTTGTTGTTGTAGTGTTGTTATAGATTTCTAAAGGGGATAGAAAAAACATTATATTGATGGATCATGGAAATGCGTGAGAAACCCAAAAAAATGTGTTGTCACTTGTCCGACGACCTTGCGCCCATTGTGTGTTGTGGTCGGTTTATTAAGCGCAAGATGTGACGTTAAACAATCCAGAGAGAAAAAATAGCGACCTGCTTAGAGTAATCAAATCGTTTGGTCGGGCGAGCCGTTTCCGACCATATGTTGTGTACAACACCACATAGGATATTTTATAACGATAAAAATGGGTTCTTGGGTCGTTCGGTGTCACTTGTAAATAATACTCTCCGAAATATGATAGTAAAAATATATATTGTGTATATTAATAGTCGAGTGCTGCCAATGAGGGGCAAGAGAGGTTTTTTTTACAATTTCAGGCGAGCAGGTACCTATATGCCAATCACGTCAAGAAATAAAAACCCTGCGTGATGTGTACAAAAATAATAATAATAAATAACCTACTAAACTCAAATTAATTGTAAATGTTTGACACCCATATGCGGTAAGATCAAGTCGATGTCGAGGTTTTAAATTTTAATACTGAAACCCCTGCCAAAAGTAAGTAAATCGGAATTCGAGGTGTATACATACCTAGATAGCATCAATAACCAAATTTGACCGTCTTAGTTACTTTGAGTGGACTAGGAAGACACACGCGAACGACAATATTTTTATTTTTCACTCTCTAACAAGTTTTTCTTTAAATTTCCGAATAAAATAACACCGCCATTTTTAATATTTTTCTTATTTTCGGTTTTAAATTCTATTCGGCCAATCCGATGTAAAAACAACCTATAACTATTTCGAAGAAAGTAACATACTATAATGAAAGGATGCACTCTAATAAAAAAGTACATAACAATAAAAAAAACAAAAGCCGCAGTTTCGGTAATAGGAAACGATATTAAAAAAGCCCATATGACCCGCTTGCTTATCCTCTCACGTCTAAACGGTACCTTCGAGGCAACTACCGCTTTGATGTATAAATAAAAAATAAGATGAAATTGAAAACCGTTCGAACACAATTATTATTTTTATTTTTTCTAATTTCGTACCGCTTTAACTTACGATACTTACCACATACTAACTTTAGAGATTAGGTCAATAATCTTGAGAACGCGCGTTTAAGCATAAGCGCATTTGTGTCTGTGTTACAATGCAAAATTATGGGAGCTGCTGACAAAGGGAAAAAGGAAAATCGAAGAGAAAATAAAATTGAGTGTTGTAGACAACTGTATTGGCTGAACACGATTTTTTCGTTTGCTACCACCATTGAATAGTGGAGTTAGGTACTTTATGTATAGGGTGTATCTAGTACCTACCTGTATAATATTGTTGCACGTGCCCCGTCACACCGGGAAAATAACACAATATAATATATTTTGCCGGATACATGCGAAGGTTTGCATATTTTGGAAAACCAAACCCTCTGCCGGTATTATATGTGTGCGTTCACCGAGCATATATAGTTTTCCGCGTTCACGGCATAGACCTTACCTATACTACATTGTCTCTGTACCTGTTACAAAGTCGTGCTCGTTATAAAATAATGGCCACCCGTGCAATGTATGCCTAACAATAATAATAATAATAAATATAAACGCTGTCGACAACGATGTGGTGGCAAAGGCCGCGCACACATACACACACACACTCGTCGTTTGCAATAACCGTCATTAACATAAGATCTCCTTATGTTGGGATACGCTTATGCTGTGTATTGTTGTAGATTATTATCTACATAACGTGTAAGGAGAAGGAAAATTGGCGGCAACCGACTAAGTTTAAAATAAACTTACTCCCTCTCTGCGCTATATATATATATATATACATTTATTTAAATATGTCCGTGTGTGTACCCCAGCTATACAGCTATAGTTAGGTGCACGCGTGTGTTTATCAAAGTTATGTGTTCACGTGACTTTTGAACTTAAATTAACGCCGCCCTCGCTCCGTCTTGCTTTTACATTATACATACCGGTCGTCGCCGTAGTCATCGTTCAGTTAGTGGCTTTTGATTGTGCTCTATTGTACATCTGTGCGTGTGTGTTAGAAATGTTTTCGTATTTAAATAAGAAATGTGCTCTACTTGCCATCCATGCACCGTGACCCCTCTCATAGTATATCCATATATAGATGTATATTCAATAACATGTGCACCCGCATTTCAATGCTTTCGGCATTTCACATTGATTGAATAATGTATTTTAATATATTTCAAAGCACGACTCGTTCGGTTTATACATTTTTAAAGTGAGTATAGATTAAAAAAAAAACCAATTAAAAGTTATATAATTTTATTCCACGGTTTTTATGTATAGTATGTAAAACTGAGTTTAGGATAAGACGGGGGGGACCAAACGAGAAACATTTGATAAAATCTCTGAAACAATTAAATTTAAGGTTTACTTGGAAAAATAAATTATTTTATAAGTACTTATCATTAGACACTTTCCCATTAATCGCGGAAATTATATTCTATACTTCCTTTGTGCTTTGTATTATCTTCTGGTTAACATTTTTAATAAGCTTTTAAAGACTGTGTATATATTATGTATCTTACCTATAGGCTGTTTATTATCCAATGTTTTAATACTTGAAAATGGAGAGCATTTTATTTCGAGATAGTTTGTATTTTCTTAGGTTACGTCTTTAGAATAAACCTCTAGCCTCTAGACTTTTTTCGATTACCATAAATGTTTCAGCGCTTATATATTATTTAGCATACGAGAAAGTCAATAACTACAAAAAGTTTACAGATACAATAAAAGATGCATAGCTATAAAACCTTGAGCTTAACAATGCACACAAAGTAGGTAGCAAATGCATTATTCATGTACAATAAATGATTATCAAATGAACTTGCAGAACTAGTTTGTCCTCTTAAAAAAAAATAGTTTTCACAGAATAATTTTTATGCAAAACCATGTAAACACAACATTGCTCACCGCGTTTTAGTAACCTGCATTTTTTATTCGCATTGAAAAAATGCAAGTATCAAATTTTTATTAAAAAAAGCTACTTTTATATTACCTGTGTTGGGTTATACAATAACAATTTTTGGCGAATTTAGACGCTCATCTGTGTAAAAAGTTACGATGTTTATGCAAATAAGAACAGTGAAATTCAAAAAGTATATTGCTTCCACCTACAAAAAACATTAGCTTTTAGTTTTCTATAATAAAAAATCACTTTGTATATCAGGTCGGAGTTTAAAAATTTTACGGACGATCAGAATATGAATTTTGGATTCAACGCTTATAGTGTCGGTACAAAATTGGTCAATATAAATGTTCATAAAGCATGTAGACCAACTTATTGCACGTTTATGAGAATGTAAATACACTTTACCGTGCAATAAGTACGGTTCAAATTTTCCGTTTTCGTTAATTGTCTATATATCATGTTGGAAGGTTTTGATTTGGTGAAAACTCGATGCTTATTAAACTTGCAAACGTGATTTTCCAATTAAAATGATCGTATTAAAAAAAAAAAAATCACTACTCCATGTAAGTATTTTACATAGGATGTATATTTATTATAAAAGTTATCATGTTTCATATAAATGTTTTAGGACATGCACTATTCTGTTCAGAACGGTAAAACGGAATACAAACGGTATAAAATTATATCTATACAGATATACCTAGTAGCTTAATATGAAGGGGAAACGAGTAGACAATTTATACACACGCTAGTATACGAGGTCGTGCCAAATCAATAAAACACGCTACTTGTTGCTTATCAATGTACTTTTACGAATTTAAGTAAAATACTATTTTAAATACAATGTTTTGAAAAATATACTTTACGTTGAAATTTGATTTTTTTTGATAAGATAAATATTTTCTATCAACGTCTAAAATTTAACTTGAAAAAAAAATTCAATAATAAGTTAGTTGACTTTTAGGTCGCCATTTGACTTGAGGATTAATTTATGGTTGACTTTTTTATAAACTA